TCTCTCTCTCTCTCTCTCTCTCTCTGTCCCCCCCTCTCTCTCTCTCTCTCTCTCTCTCTCTCTCTCTCTCTCTCTCTCTCTCTCTCTCTCTCTCTCGCTCGCTACGAACGCAGCAAAGTCCCGGCCAAGCTACATTCCTCACAGGATCGAAAGGTGATGAACAATCCTGGTGGCGCACCTTTGTCTCGAAATTGTGCAGGTCCGTTTTTGGAAGGGTGGGGGCATCTTTGCTGGAAGGGGCGTGCTGTTCCGGGCACATGCTGTGGGATCTTTGGCTTTGCTTCATGCTCCAATCTCGGTTGGTCGGGTTAGTGTTTCTTGGTCAACCGAGGGTCCAGGAAGGAGCTAAGGATTGGAGAACCCAATCTCTGCATGTCGGGAAAGCTCAGCGAGGCGTGACCCCTAGCTGTGAGAATTCGTTTATACTACATTGTCCAACATGTTGCAGGCGTCAAAAGAGCCTCAACAAGTTTATGATGTACAACGCTAACGCTCTCTGTGCTAATTCAGCTGGGTCGCTGTATGAGAATCAGCCAACATCGATGTCTGGGGCCCCCCCTCCCAATAAACAGTAGGCCATATGCTGAGAAGGGTGTAAGGTAATATGTGACATACGACCACGATAGAGTTGTACGTGCCCGTACGGGAGAATGGTTCACCCTGATGAGACGCATATGAACCTGATTCCTGAACACTCCGATGATCCAAGCGTCCACGATGTGCCGCAAGCGCACGCTTTCGGCTTCCTGGCTCGGAATGCTCAGATGCCACAGGGACGCATTCACCAGGAATCTACATAGGCCGCATGGCTGCGTCCGAGTCCGAGGACGCAACATGGCAGGCAACACTTTGGCCCAGGGTTACTCCCTACTCTCTGCAACATGCGAGTCACAGGCCAGCAAGCACGCTACTAATTCGAACTGTTCTTGCAATTGACGCGCGTGCATCACAATGAACTATGATTTCTCTCAGTCTCCGTCGCAGTGGCACTGCGCTCAAACCAAACAAGCCCTACAGTAAACAAGTGGGTCGGTCTAGCTGACAATTACATCGTTGAACCCGAAGAAGCCCCAACTCCCAATCAGTCCACATGTTCTAGAAGACACACGGGCTGCTGGACTGTCCTTCTTGGCTCTCTTGGCTGCTGGCTCCATGACAGCGCGGTCGTCCTTGGGGACGAAGTAGACCACGATGGTCGTGCACTGCCTAGCAGGACTTCGAGACAAACCCGGACTGCTTTGACCGCGACGAACTGTCCGCGAAACCTAGTACACATCCCTACTCTACAACCTCCGGCATTCAGACAAAGGAGTTCAAAGCCAGCGTCAGGGACCCCCATTGAACATGTACAATGAGAACTGTGAATCAAATTGTCGTGATGGTCGTATACAAATCGTCAACAGAGTCAGATACACTCGGAGAAGCAGCTGATAATGATGGGAATGATGATGATGATGGTGATGATGATGATCCAGTCCACTTGAGAGTCGTCCAAGTAGCGCATTGGCATTCTGGGGCGCCAGGGCAGCGCGGTGAGCAATGTCGCCGCTGGCCGCCTCATGCTTAGTCTTGTGTTCACATGTAGGCTTTTTAGGGCTTCGTTTGTAGAGCTGCTGCCAAAGGCTACATGCCTAAAGAACAGCTTTCCGGGTTTTTATGACACGAGAGCTGCAGGGTAGCATGCAGCATCCCTAGTCGTCAAACTCTCTTTGGAGGTACTTAGGCAACTCCTCAACCTGCGCCGGGCAGTGCATGAGTGAGTGAAAAGGCGAAAGCGACAGTGAAGAGCAGGACCTGCAGAAAGCATCAGAAAGCTGAGCCTCGCTTCGGACATCATCCAGAAGAGTCTGCGCGTTGTTGATGATGATGCTGAGGATGATACTGCTGCGAAAGTTCATGCTACTGTATACTTGGAATGAGAATTTCGATCTTTGCACACTTTGCTCTTCGCCCGGGTGTGGGAGCATGGGCGTACTCAATCGAAATCCCATTGGATTTCAAGCTTGAACTCGGAGCCTGATCCAGAACCAAGTTCTGGTGTGACATTCTCAATTCTCGGAGATGCCGTGGCCGCTGAGGCGGGAACATCTCAACAAGTAGCTTCCACCATCACACGCGCTCTTACCAATACCATGGTGTTCCAGCAGCGCGTGCTCCAGCGGCCACCAGAAGGGACATTCGGCACACTTTAGCCTGTCTTGTCTCTCTTTTCAACTTTCATGATGGCTTACTAAACGTGAACCCACCATTGCTTCGTGTTTAGGGTGCCGAATTCAGATAATTAAGAGCGTCGCTCCTGGATTCTGAACATACGAGACCGTGAGATAGGGTTTGCATACGCGAATCCTTGTGCTATACACTGAAGCCGAAGCTCTACAGCCTCAGCAACTTAAGCTCAATTCGTCCGGAAGGAAGACAGTACAGGGATCGGCGGACTAAGAGGAAAGGTCCAGGCCTCAAAGCTTAAGCACCAAAATTAGCCTCGAAAATTTCTCAATGTCGAAGCGCTCGCGGCTTGTACTCAAAGTCGGAAATCGTCAGGGCAACCTGCTCGGAATACGCGTCTTGAGTTTTGGATGCCGGGGGGCCACTGGGGGCTCTTGAGTCTGCATGCCTTTTTGTGGTATGCCGCCCGGGGCCCAGCCTGAAGATAAAGCCAGGGTTTGAGCAGCTGACAATGGCGGGAGGGTTCAAGTGCGAGGCAAGTGTTTCGTTTACCCTTGAGACCACATGAAACTTGAAACCCCGCGCCGCGTGCTTTTTCGGGGATCCGCTCCGGAAGTAGTCAGCTCAAATATGAAGCTGCTCTTCGTGGAATGAAAAACGGCCAACGACTCTGGAGCATCTGTTTGGCCGGAAGTATCTTCAACTTCCGGAGTTCCCTGGAATCTGATTCGGCTTGGCACTTTCAAGGCTTTTTGGCTTCGAGTTTGTAGAGTCGGACATATAGCCTGTCTGCTATGGATTTATGTTGCCGGAGCTGGGTTCCGTGTCTCGAACGCGGGGCCTGCGCAGTTGGTATGGCGGCTGGAACAGGCGTGGAGCTAAGCACCAAGGCGATGTGCCGATCGGCCCAGGAGACATCCTTGGTTTGGCGGATAGGGCATCCGACGGTGTGGGATCTTGCGATTGGTTGGTGTAGAATGTAGTTATTCTGGCAGGATCTGGCAGGGAACTGTGTGCACGTGGGATTGTACCTTGGACGCCGAAGGTCGACAGGCAAACAAAGAAGCCGCAAATCCCGAACCTCAAATCCTGTTTCAGTCCATTTGAGAGTGCTGTCGGGGTGTTTTGTAGCAAACCAAGTTAGGATCTTGCAGGGACATACCTGAAGAACCTCAGACATACTGAAAGCCTAAGCCCAGGCGCAGTATCGCTAGCGAAGCTCTAATGATTACACAAAAAAGCGGCCGATACATCGACAGGTCGACGTCTTACTTAACACTCAAGGTGCTGCACACATGTACACCTTTGCATACCAAACGACAAAATCTAACACCCGGGAACTGTGTTGCATGTAGTACAGTCCATCCCGTCCTGTGCGTCCTACCATCAGCCAAAGGCATTCCGGGACTCTGTGTGTCTGGTCTCAGGAACGCTTCTCAGAAGCTTCAAGCTACCAGGCATGCCTGAGAGCTCCAGTTCTTCTGCAGGGACGGTTTACGCACGGCTGTTGCAGGCTTCGCGCATGATTTTCGAAAGACCTCCATGAAGTCAAGTCTACACGAGTACCTGCAAGCTTGAAGCATCTTGCTCATGGTCTTTACCTGCCTGATTACTAAGTTTCACTGCGTGGAAGAAAGTTGTTACGTGTTGTAGGTGGTCACCCTTGGCAGCAAAGTTAAAACTCTCGAACTCCCCGTACAAGGACTCACAGACTCACACCTCTTTCAGGAAGTATATCCTGTACTGTGTCATCATGCACAGAAATGGCCTCCGGAAGATTTCGTGCTACCAGGTTCGTAGTGGACCCTCAAGTGATTGTAGGAAGGGAGCCTCGATGCTCAGTAAAGTTCTTCCATCAAGCGCATGTATGGACACAAATAGTATGCCAGGTACACGCAGGTCACAACGTACTTGCAGGAGAAAGGCTTGGTTGACACCAAACATGACTCCAAAACGGGCAAGGGCAAGTTAAGTTGTGAACCGTATTCAAACCCCAAGCATTTCCAGCTACCCGGCAACTTGGAACCATCACGTAAGCCTGACAAAGTAGAGGGACTAACTCACACCAAGCGCTCTGAACCCTCAAGAAAAAAATGAAAAAAGCTCTCTAGCCAGCACCTGCGAACACGCACTGGTAACCACTGGTACCAGATATGCAATGAACCCTGCACCAGCCGTCCTGACCATACCCTGAGCTTATCAGCGAAGCAGCTTGACACCAGCAACCATCAAATGGCAAAACGGGAATTTTTGCAGCTGCAGCTTACTTCGCAAACCCCACCCCATAGCAAAATCAATAGTAACAATACAGCGAACAAACCACAAACACATGCACGCACGCACACGCACACGTACGTACACACGCACACAACACACAAAGAAGGAGCAGCCGGCCTCCCATGGATCCCTTCCATGCCCGATCTCCTATAGACCTGCAGGCCGGCAACAAGCCCAGGGTCGACGGCTTTTGTTGGTACCCCGCCCCCCGCCCTCCAGAGCTTGCTTCCTCCAGCCCTGTGGTGTGGCGGGTTCGGGGTTTGGGTCTGATTGGGATGCCTCCTTCCCCTGTTGTGTGGCTTTGGGGTGTGGGTCTGCACCATTCTCATCCTCATCATCCTCAGCCTCGTGCTCCTTCTTTGGTCGTCGGGTGTGCCTGGTGAAGTAGCGCTTTCGCGATCTTCCTGGCAGTCGCTTCGGGTGGCAGTCGCTTCGCGGGCACGCCGGAAGATCCTTGTGAAAGGTGTCGCTTGCTGGAGCCTGGTATTGGCCACATGGTTGCAAGTTGGCTAACCTGGGACCCTCATGTCCGAGTCGCGGATGAAAAAATGTCCATTGTCGCAGTGATCGGGCGTGTTGGGAACGTGGCTTGGGAGCATTCATGGGCGGGGCAGGAGGGTGGGGGTGTCGGCGAACCCGAACCGGCATCACCGGCATCATGTGTATATCTGTAATATATATATTAATATTAATATTAATATTAAAACTAGAATTAAGTATTAATATTAATATTAACTCCGTGTGTATGCATGCATGCATGCATCCATGCATGGATGGATGTATGTACGTATGTATTTATGTATGTATGTATGTAAGTATGTATGTATGTATACATGTATGCATGTATGTATGTATGTATGCATTTTTCCCTCGCCCTGCCAAAGCTGCGAATATGCATGCATGTGCGTACATAGTAATTATGTGTCTGTGTGTCTGAGTCTGTGTGTGTGTGTGTCTGTGTCTGTACGTGCGCATACGCATAGGCGTATGTGTATGGGTGTGCCGTGCGTGCGTGCGTACGTGCGGGCGTGCGGGCGGGCGGGCGGGCGTGGGTGCGTGGATGGGTGAGCGGGTGGGTGGGTGGGAGAGTGTGTGTGTGTGTGTGCTTGTATGTGTGTGTGTAAGTAAGTAAGTAAGTAAGTAAGTAAGTAAGTAAGTAAGTAAGTAAGTAAGTAAGTGAAAGTGTGTGTGTGTGTGTGTTTGCGTGTGTGTGTGTGTGGGGTGGGTGGGAGTATGCATGTATGCATGCGTACATACATGCATAATCATACCTACATAGTTGTCCACTTACAAGTACATCGGTGTGTATATATATATAAACATAGAAGTGTTTCTGTGTGTGTCTGTGTCTGTGTGTATACTACATATATATATATGTGTGTGTATGCAATTATGTATGTATGTGTGTATGTATGTGTGTATGTATGTATGTGTATGTATGTATGTATGTATGCATGCATAGGTATGTCCATACTGTGCAGTTTCTAGAATTTCGCATACGTGCATTCAAGTCTCAAGGTGTCTCAGCTTGTATGCGCTACTTGCTGGCTTCGTTTCCAACCCGTTGTGTTTTTGAATGCTGCGATATCTTTACACATGCGATACTTGCATTCCAACTGGCTGGTGTGCATCTCCCAGAATTCGCTTTCGGAAACTCTCTGGCTCTAAGACACCGGCCCTACTGTAACAGTCTGTGTTGGGGCTTGCTTCTAGCCTAAAGTGTGATATGGGGACTGCGGGGTATGTTGCCACCAGACCTGCATAATATGCTTTTTAAGGTTTTTGTTTCTAGGGGACCCTTCGGGCCTGGACACTGCTGTTGTTGCTCCTTGCGGGTTGCTGGTCATCAGCTTGCCGCCCTCTCCAGGAAAGACCATTCCACCGTTGTCTTGGAGAAACTTCCTGAGCTTGGAGAAAGGTGTATTTCTATGAGGCCATTTAAAGTGGCGTTCCTGAATGGGCTACGGACTGCAGGGCATAATATAAGGTCGAGCACAAGGATGTGCGAAGCTTCATTTGCTTCATGTCGGGATGCGGGCTTAGCATGGTACCTCTAAGCGGTGGGAAATGTGTTGAAGATGTCGCTTCCCAGTCCAATACGGTGTAATGACACGGAGTGGGGCCTGATCACACTGGAAGGACCTGTGACGATCAATGCGTCTCACCCAAGCAGTGCAGGTAGGACCTATCAATCTGCAGTACAACTAGCATTAGCTACTACGGCTCAGGATGGTTTGACACCTTGCCGATGGTCCTTCCAGCCATCCAGCTGTCGCGCAAGGTGCCGGAGCATCGGGTTGGTGCTTTGAAGGTGGTCGGCAGGTGTCAAAGTCGTCAAAGGCCAACCCGGCCTAGACCCTAAACTAAACCTTGTCATGCCGAAAATGTGCACGCAAAAATCACAAGCGTTGTGTTGCTGCAGTAGCAAAATCTAGTTTCACATCGATGACTGCATTCAGAAAGAGGGCAGGGTTGACCATGACAGTAGTGTGATACTGCTACTAGAAGAGCCGGCAGCCAGACACTCCGCCTGCTTGATTCGATGCCCTAGCCTAATCCTGAGGAGTGTAGGCCGCTCTTTCTGAGGCTTGTCACACACACTACGCGCCAACGATCACAGCCATAGTATCAAGTGAAAACTGAAAGATGGACAGAACACTGGAAGCCACAACGTCAGCTCTGCTATCTTGTCTTAAGGAAGGACCTGCGAACCGAGAGGCTGATCCTCCGGAACCTTGAAGTGACCCTGGTTTACGCCCATGTTCACGGCCTCGCGCTGCAGTTCTAGCCGGGGAGGCAGGGCTTGAAGGAATCAAGCAGAAAACAAGGGCTCGGCCGAGCAACAGCTGCGAAGTAGTTTCGATTTATTTGAATGCTGATATCCAAGGAGTTGAAGCTTACTGCATCCTCAGCCTGCATTAGGGAGTGCTTGACTAGAGACTCCTGGAAAATGTTGTTTCAAGGATGACGAGACCCACAACGAAGCCTCAATGCCGAAACACTCTTACTGACTTCGCCGGGCGCCGGGCAAGCGAAACCGTTTACTAATGAGTTACGAGTTTGGAGAGTTGGAGGATTCTCTCTCTCTCTCTGTCTCTTTCTCTCTTCTTCTTCCCCAGGGCAGGGAAGGCGAGTTAAGGCCCCCCGCCCTATTGGCCCCCCAGTTGTAATGGGGCATTGGGGAGGAGTGAAAGTCTCTCGCTCTCTGGCGTGCCTTCCTCGAAGGTCTGGCTATGCAAGAGGAGGGAGCACGGTAACCCAAAACCGCCTTCATTCGCCTAGCCCACCCAACTGGACAAGAACTTACCTCAACGGATTGAGATGCTGCATTTGCTTTGAGGTTTCAGAACCAAGGCCTAGAGTGCAAGGTTTTGCTAGGTTTTGGGTTGCCTTCTGCTAAGAGCAGATGAGTGAATGAGTTAGACCAAGCAGTGAAGCGCCATCCCAAAGCTTCGATACTTTTACCCTAGCCCTGAATGCAGTTGTGGTTGTGATAATGAAACACGACCATCACTCTTTGTCTCTGGTCTATGCAAGGCCTCAACATTCTACCTGCACATATCTGGGCCCAAACTTCTTAAGGTAAGACATTACCTGTCGAGACTTCAGTCGCATAAGCCCTTCATTCCCGAACGCGAGCGAAGTGAGCGCCTTGCACGTGTCCTGCTTGTTGCCTTTCCGCGGTCCGGCTTCCAGCAAGGTCTCAGCCGTGCTTTGGACAGCAGTGCTTGGAATGGGATAGGAAACCCAAGCCCCAATACCCTAAACTTTCCCGAGCTCCGATCACTGCTCTAGTTGCTACGGTGGGGAGGGTTGGGCTTCAGGAAGCCGCAAAGTTGAGAACCGGCAACCCATGGGTGAACATTAATGCTGGGGTTCGAGGTGCGAAGCTCCTGCGACTACGAGCTTGCAGCCCTGCTTCCGGCGTCCTTTCAACTTGGGTCTTTAGGCTTACGGCTCGTCACTGAAGCTTAGGCTGGCCGCCCGAATGGTGCCGAACAGCGAGACTAAGCGGCGATGCAGGCTTTGTAGTGGAGGGGAGTGTGGTCCTGCACAGACCTAACAGAAGATTTTACATACTCGAAAGATAGGTCTTGAGGGCGTCCAGCTTGGCAAGGCGTTGGAAGCTGGAAAGCTATCCCGTGAGAAATGCGAAACTCCGAGATTGGGTGGCTAGACGACACTCAAGAAAACACAAGCCCAGACCTTTCAAATCCGAAGCATCGCTGTTGCTCAATTCTCCTAATCTGCAGGGCGGCGGGCGGGGCGTATCGGAATGCTTGCGGCCCTGTTCCATAGCAACATCTTGTATCTACAGCTCGGATCTACAAGTGTGGGCATCCAGACTTTGACATCCAGTCGCAAGCTCGCAGGAGCCGCAGACGGCCGTGAAGAGCTTCTCCTCGGAGGACTACGGGCCCAAGTGGCACAGACTGCCATCGACTCTAAGTCTTAGTAAACGCAGAACCGACGGAACACATCATGCCTCGGAAGCGTTGGCCAGCACCAGTCCATCGCATCAGCGAACTTCCAATCCAGAATCTGAGTCTTCAAAGCTTTGCCTGAATGCTATGAAGACCTTGAGCACTTTAAACGCCCCCTGTAAATTTGCTAGTAGATATAGCATGATCCCTACAGCCGACTTGCAGCCAAAGGGGCCCCCACCAACAGTGCCACGGCACCACCACAGCCGTCGGAAACACCAGGGCTGGATCGGGTGCGTTCAGGGAAGCTTAGAAGGCCACCTCAATCTATAGTGTTTGGCGCCCATGCCTTGGGTTTAGGGTAGAGCAGATATGGAGTTCAGAAAGTCGAGACATAGAAAAGCGACCGAGTGTGATCCTCTCGATTCCTCTACACGAATGAGAAAGCTTGTGCATTTTGCAGGAATGGTTTTTCAGGACTTGCGTCCGGCTTCATGATTCAATTTCGCGATAGTGCTACTACCAATACCGCCCAACACTTTTGCCTTCTCATTGCTGCACCTGTATTGAACAGGGGCTACGGCTGAGGCGCGGGAGCACACACGAGTCGTGGTATTCTCGTGCCAGGAGCATGCTGTAGTTCTAGTGCACAGTTGAAGCTTCTGGCCGCGCTGGGACTTCAGAGTGTATCTTAATTTCGACAGAATACTGTAGGGCCGAACTATTGGAATGGAGATTGCACGTTGCTCCCACTGCAAGTAATTGCCAGAGAGCTGCACGGGGACGTGCACCGGAAACCCAGGCAAACAACTTGGATTCCCTCAAGCCCTCGCAAAGCCAAGGCTTCTTGCGTTTTACCCTGGCCGACATGATCAGAATGTCGGCCACAAAAAGGCAAAAAAGGGTCCGGAAAACTGAGGCCGGGATCTGAAAATGCCGTCGAAACTCTGATTCCGGAGAACTTCCTTGTCGAGGTCCTCGAAAGCCTTCTTCAGGCAGGCCTCCAGCCAAACCAAGCTCAGGGCTCTTCACGAATTGGACTTTGTTTGGGCTCCAGCGGCGCTGTTCAAAGACCGGGGGCCCTGAGCCCTGATCTGCCCATGCTCAGGTGAGCAAGAGAAAAGACCAGGCGTTCCGAATCATGGATGCAATACGGATTGACTGCGGTTTGAGGTCTGTGATGTTGGCATGCAAGTTGAACCCGAAACCCACGTCCTGAAGCCACGGCTGTGGGTTTGCTGCGTAAAGCAATATGCAGGATGACGGACCACACGAGTTCAGACTTCAGGGCCTACTTCACGGCTATGCCTTACAGCATGACGTCCTGTGCCCGAAGCTGAAGTTCCAGGCTTCCACAAGCAAAAGTTGGAGTATAGCAACCGCAAAGCGCTTGTCTGTGCTTGGCCATGACGCTGAAAACTCCTAGGCCAAAACATCCAGGTATCGGCCAAAACGAGGCTCCCCGGAAGCCTCAACCCCGCCCGGCTTGTTTCATGAACGAAAACTCTTCCAGCTGCAGGGTATGCTAGAGAAACTATCTCCTTGACCGGCGCAAGCAACCTTGATGAAGGTGGCATTCTCGTAGCCCTGACAGCAGAGGCTCTCGAGTTTTCAAGTCCTGACCACTCACAAAACCGAAGCCACACACGAGAAGACTTGAGCCCTACACACGAGCAGCTTTAGCACCTGAGTAGCCAGGGAAAGCCACAAGCTCTTCGGCCCCGGGACTCGGGTACAGGGTCTGGCAGGGTTTCATGTACAGAAAGCTCGAGCTGTCTACTTCCGCAGTGTCCTCAAGAGGCTTAAGCTTGTATTTCTTGAAAGCCGCTGAGGGCGCTGACTCCGTGTCTGGCACAAACACTGCGGCTGAACCCAATAGCGATTCGGGGACACACTACCACTGTCAGTTGAATCGCTGGATTCGAGGGTCCAAACTAAGCCACATGTTTATAGTTTCCCTGCCTGGGGTATGGCGGACATGTTCCTCAACCTCAACAACCCACCGTGCTTCCGGAACGTGGAAGTCTGTCTTGCGCGCAGACGCTGCAGCATGTAGAGATGTTTCGTTTTTCCACACGAAAACGAAAAACCTAGCGTCCGCAAGCCCAACCCGCAAATCGGGAAAGCCTTGAAGTCAGCTCTTTTCGTTAAGGAGATGTAAAACGCAAAGCAGGCCAAATCCAAAATAGAAATGCGCACGCCTCAACCCAACAACGGTCAACAACGCACAGGCCACTGACACAACATCCCAACTCTGAGCTAGGCACCATGGTGCCGCATTGCTACACAAGCTCAGTTTGGTACCTTTGTTGTTCAAGTGGTTGCAATAGCAACGGTAGTGTGAAGTCGTTCGCTTCCTAGCGTGTCAAACAATCAAGAATTTCGACCACGCGCACCCGGATTGGAAATTGGCCACAACCAAAATGCACAATACACCAACAAAGCATCAGAAAACATGTCAAAAAACACTGTAGGGAAGGGAGGGGCAGGGGCGGAGGGAGAGGGGGGGGGGGGAGCAGGGGCCAAAAAAATGACTTTCCCCTGAACAAAATTGGAAACTGGAAAAAGTCAGCAACAAACACAGAAAAAACTAGAAAAAGTCAGAAAACAACTTAGTAGAAACATCGTACTCACAGTTCAGTTGGTTTAGAGGTAGCAGACCTTTCTGAACTGTTGGTTGTTGCTGTTTTCTGACTTTTCTACTGGCAAGCAGCTCTTCTGGACACGTCTGAGTTGCTTTCTGATTTTTTGTTGATCCGAAAAATCGTTCAATCTAGCTTATGCGAACGACTTAACGGTAGTCTTCTACTTGATCGCGTTTGGGCTTTCGGCTCCAGTGCTGTCGCGTTCGGAGTAAGCTTTGAACGAAACTTCAAGGCCAAGGCCCGAAGAATTGCTGGCGCATGGCAGAAGCCCAGATCCCCCTCGTGTCACCAGTTCTGAATCACAAGCTGCGATTTTCAAGTGCCCCAGACTCGAAACCCTATGGTATGCACCATCCTCGAATCGGCCTCGGAGCCACAGGTAGTACACACCCCTTACACAGTCTAAGATAAGATAATAATTATTTATCACAAATCCCACTGTTGGTGCCCTTAACTCAAATCCTCATGCCAAGCTGCAGCTTCGGCTGCAGCGCCTTGGCACAGCACTCGGCGGCCATGGGCCCGGGTCCCTGCAAAGGTTTCGAGTGGTTGACCGTTTCGGGGGTTAGTTTTACGGTCGAGGGTATTGTGGCGTGTTAAGGTTCACTGTCACAGGGATTAACGAATAGTTGTTTTGTGGGGCCGCCTACTGTATCTTCTAGGCCACCACCTATGGCAAATGTCTAACGGCTCATGTGCGACTTGCTTCGGAGGTTGCTTCGTCAGATCTGGCTCGGGGTTTAGGGCGCTTTCTTGGGGTGGGGTGGGGGCCGGGTGCGGTGGTGTGAGTTGGGGTGGTGGTCAGTCCTCAAAGGCCCCCCAGGTCAGATACTTGTAGCAAGTTTATGGAAGTCTATACTGTAGCTGTCCCGTACGCACGGACCCGAGCTTCGCAGGAATTTGGCGAAGAGAGTTGGGAACAGTCTGAGTGCTGCCTCAATGCCATTCGAAAGTTTGGCGGAGTTTCGCTTCTCCGGCGGGCATGATCGCGGCCACAGGACCCTACACCATCCAGGCCGCAGGTCGCCGCTCCGGCCTCTGCTGCCGACTGTCCATCGAAGAGAGCGAAGAGCTGCAAAGGTGCTTTGTTCCTCGGTGACTTGAGGCGTAGCCGGCCAAGTTCAGCTGCAGCAGGGTACAAGTTTATCGGTTCGCTCTTCTTTTGACATGGTTCCAGGCTCCCGGCTAGGCCACTCATCGGTTCAGGCTTTAGGGATCTGTGGATTGAGCACATTGGATTTGGTGATTTCTTGCCTTGGGTCGCAAGCAAGGCTTAGGACCAGGATGCAGCATTGTCCTAAGGCTCGCGAGCAACGGGAGGGAATTTTATGCTCACTTCAAAGACATCTGGTTCGAGACAGCTGAAAACAAGACCAGATCCCTGGTTGATTCGGTTGTGACAGCATGCTCGGAATTCTGTGTTGAAGAATGCCACAGTGCATTCAGTAATAAGGCAGCAAGAACGACCTGTCACCCCGCTGCTCCGAAGAGCCGGAAACCCTAAACCGGCCATGTGGCTCAAAGAGGCCTCCCGTAGGCAACGCGATCTTGGATCTGGCCGCCGCTTTCCTGGTTTTGATGGCTTCTGTGGATTTATCAGCCAAGCGCAGCACAGAAACACCTCCTAAGATTCTCGGTGGTGCAGCAAACTTGGTCGATTGGCGCAGAAGTCAAGGCCCGAGCTCTAGAGGTCAGCCGAGCCTGCATCCTTTTTCCAACAAGAAGCAACATCATAGGAATGTATAGTATCGAGCAGGGTTTGAAGGATTCTAGGTGCTAGCCTCATGAGGTTTTACTAGACCTTTTTCTAGCGCATGGCCGAAACGAGCTTCACGAGCAATCATGGCCCGAACCAGAAGCCTGAGCGCTGAGCAGCTGCCTGAAACCCTCACCCAGTGCGGATCCTACTCTCAGGCTGCAAACCCTTCCAGCTCCTACAGATCAAGTCAAACTCTCGGTGTAGCTGTTGGCCGGGTCTGGGCTTTGAGGGAAGTTCCCTAAACCAAGAGCTAAAGTCAAGTGGATAGGAATCTGGCCCTTAAACTTGAGGCCTGCATCTGGATTCCAGGTGCGTCTTCAGATTCGCAGATGATAACGCTCCATGAACTGTCAGACTGGTGTCCTCAGATCCTTGACGACGATGTGGCGCACCAGGTTGAGATCCACCCTGCTGCCGGTGGCGCCAGCGAAAATCAACCAAAACCGCCAAGGTTACACACAGCGCAGCTTGTGCATTTACTTGGGGCGTAGAATATTCCTGACGAACACAATTCTGACGAGGCGATCGTTTGCCCCAAGACGAGAAGATATGAGCAGATGTCAAGCTCAAAGCTGAGTACTTGGATCCGATTCCAAGTTGAGATTCAGGCGAGGTGCTGGTAATGGGCTTATTGCCAGTGTCTCTTTTTCCTGGTAGGATCCCTCTCGTGCCCCTCTAAGATATCATCCTTAAGAGGTGACGATATTCTTTGCGGTCAATTTGGAGACGAGGTGGACACACATATGCCGTAAAAAAGTACCAAGCCCTGAACGTGTTGTTGGGGGTTTTCTTACTGGGCAGGACAAGCCAGGGTTCGAAGTTTATGCTGATAGTTCAGAACGAGGATTCAGGGATCGAATTGCGTCATCATACTTGAGAAGGACAGTCGCAGATGCCACATCGAGCTCTGTCCGATGCACAACCCCTACATACTTTTCCAATAAGCCAGGGAAAGAAAAGGTTAAACTTTCAGATTGCTACTAATTATAAGAGCCCAAAACGCTTAAAGGTTGTGGGTATTGGAGAACTAAGCCTAACAAACGGTCCCAACTGAAAAACAGCAACCGCTGTGGATAAACACGCCACGGTAACACCCTCGAACACCTTGCACAAGGATCGCGAGCAGCAAGACTTGGACCCCCAACCCTCAATGCCGCCATGAATCCTAGGGGCACACCATGCCGAAACACCTTGAATATCAATCGCATCCCCCACTTCAAACCCGAATGAGGCCAAACCAGACACCAATATCCCCCCTGACCTGTTGAGGCAAACCCGCAGTTGTGAGTTTGGATTTATCTTCCAAGTTTACATCGTAACGCCGTAGAAGTTTGCGAGTTTCGGGCATAAAGCTTTTGACTTCATTGTTGGATTAGGGTTCATAGTGATTTGTCGGCGCTGCCAGGGCTCAGGCATCAGGGTATTGCAGAAAGTCTTGAGGTTGTGGGGCTTACCTGGTGGCCCCGATCATCCCAAGATGCTGGCAAGGTCTGAGACTGCTGATGTTAGAATTCGGGCCTGGTCGCGTCTAAGATCCTATGAAGAGAACCTCAGTGGCACTTTCAGGAGTCCTGCGAAGATCTCCCCAGACCGGCCTCCCCAAGCTGACGGCATCCACGGCAACTCGCAGTGTCGCAGCTGCCTCCTCTTCCTCCTCGGTTCTCACGGTGTCAGGGTTTGAAGTTGCGCGGGGTTGCAGAGCTTTGAGTGTGAAAGATCTGTAGCTGGCGCCGGGAATCAGAGGAGCCGTGTGGGAGTCACGGAAATCGATCAAGTGATGACCACAGGACCCACAGCAGTCAGTGCTGCCGATCTTCGGGTTTTCGAGGGTGAGCATCAGTGAGCGATTGCAGAAATTTCCCTGAAGGTGTATGCCGGCCCTGACCTGGGGTTCTAAACTTAGACACTGACACATCCCGGACAATCATGTCTCAAAACCTCCTTGCGAAACAAACGAAGAAAACGGGTTCAGGTGCAGCGGAAGTGTTGCAGGGACTGTTATTGTTTAGGAAGGCCGCGATCAGGGAATTCGTGTCTTCCAGAACAACTCTGCGGGCAAGGCCGCAAGCCCTTGCGTAAATCCACAAACCGCAGCTGCATTCTCGTCACCCGACGTTTGAAGTCCAGAAGGATCTATAACTAACCCTCCCAAGCCCTAAAGCAAGCAAAGCCTATAGGCATGCTTACATCCCTGCTGGCAGTACTGGCAAGCCGCACGCAACTCCTTCGCCTGAAGTTCTTTCGCCTGCAAGTGCTTTTAAAGGAGCTTTTAGGGCTTCATTGCCTGAACCCAGGCTCTAAGGATCTTGGGGTTTTTAATGCTTCAAGGGATTAGTGAATGTGTTTCAACGGCTTGCAGAGCGGCCTCACACCTTGAGCACAAAAACACGAGTTCCGAATGATGTTCCCTTGACATTCTTCGAGCACCTGGGCTGAACCCACAACATTCAAGAACACATCATCCTGATTAGAGGAAGCCCCCCTCCCTTCCAAACCAACAGGGGGCTCATCCAAAACCTGCCTCTTCATGCTCTCGCCATTGGTTCGGCAGCTGCCCCTGCTGCTTCAGTTTCCTCAAGGTGGGGCTTGGCCAACGCCCACCCGAATCGCGAAATCTCTCTCCCAGGCCTTCGAAATCCAACCTACACCCCAAAACCCTGAAGCCTCGCGCTTCGAAGCTTCGGCTCAGGGTGACAAGCTCATGGGCGTGCTAGCTGCCTCGAAGTATATAGAAGCTGGTTGGTGGGTCTTAAGAATCTGTTTCGGGGACCTCAGTTTCGGAAATTCTCGGTAATCTCCAATTCGTTCTTGCTATCCACGAGAACCCTGAGATCCAAAACTGGTCTGATGCTTTCGAATTGAATTGACGCACGTCGCCCCTCGCCCTCACGACAAGCATCCACAGCGGCGTTCCGGAGAATCCCGCATTACTCGAGCAGAAGTTCTGTCCAGATGAGCCTGCGACGCCGAAGGAACAAATCACAACAACTCTCTCCGGATTGAAACTCACGTGGGATGTTGAGAGACCCGCTGCTGGGACAAGTTGCAACCTCTGGCATTGGAGCTCTCAAAGGACAGTTGGTGTGGCTGCTGTTTGATATCTGTCCTTCTTTCCTGGCCCATCCGAGTTGAAGGCATGACCCACGACCTCCTGTGTCTGTAAGACACGGTAAGACCAAGACGAGCTTGTTTCTGAAGCCGCCCTCCAACAGTTCTGCAGAGTGATTCTGTGATTCTTCACAAACCCTTGATGTCCAGAGTTGCTAATCAAACGGGCTTGACACTCCGTACAACTTGAGCCATCAGCCCTTTTTCCACAGGCTTGAACTGAGCTCGCCCGGCCAAATCCCTCGATCAGCCCTTGAACTTGATGCTTCAGGTACTCAGGTGCGGCTTCGGAGGTTTCCCAGCCACATGCATCTTCGTCAGGGATACGTACAGTTTGAGAAGATTGAGGCTTCGATTTCAGAGCCACCTTATACTCACTAAAACCAACTTCTGTCGGTAGCCGTAGTAAGGTATTAGTACAGCACGATATCGGCATCTTGCCGAGTCCATGTGCCGGCATGCCTCCTCCAACACTCATCGCGACCCCGGATTTGGGCAATCCGGAAGTCGTTCCCGCGATCTCTGAGCCGAAATCGTTCGGACGGGGCTTACATCAAAATCTGTTGCGCTCCAGGCCTCGGCGAAACGAGCTAGGGGCCTGATTCCGCGCAGGGTAATGTTCTGTGCGGTAAAGGCGGAGGGTAGAGGGAGGAAACAGTAGAGGAAAACAGGCAAGCAGCATGTGCTATGCCCTGCTAGGCAAAGTTGAACTGATACTTATTACTACCTGCAGCATCCGCATTGAAGTCTCGGGTGAAGACCCCCAGGAGAATGCCGATTCAGATCAACACGGGGTTTATGATTCAGTGGGAAAAACCGGAGTGTCCTGGCACTGGCACGCCACGTTTTTCATCCAGCCCACGTCGGCGAAGCCTTTCGCGCCAACTGCGTCGGATCTGCGGAAACGTGCACGCATGAAGTGCCCAAGCTGCATTCTGCGCAGACACGGTGACCAGGGCACGGTGAGGTCATGCCTTAAAATCGCAAGATAACATACAACATCATTCCTTCCCCCAGTCTTTCTAGGGGACTCTTGACTCTTTATTCTTTATGTACTTTCGCATGCCAGGCTATGAACGGGTTGAAACCGTCTCCATACTTTTCAAACTCGAGCCCTTCACTGCAAAACCCTATTCTTGTTTGACTTTTGTTTGAGCCCGGGAGCTCCCCCGGAAAGAAATTTATGACAAGGAGGGGGGAAAATGGTCATCCTCTACACCAGCCGGCACAGCGGAAGGCACTTTTCAGAGCTTGGCGCAGGGTAGCCCACCAGCTGCGGGCAGGCTGAGATGCAGATCCGGAAGCCTCCTCGTCTACAATCAAAGATAGTACAAATAGCAGCTGGAGTAAGGAGCCAGAGCCCCACTGTGAAGCGGGATGCTCTAGACAAGTATACCGAACAAAACCAACAGTATTGACAGTATTGATGACTGTTCTACAAGTGTGAAGAGCCGGCAGTTGCCATGCCCGTTTTCTTGTTACCGCTTCCCATGAACGAAAAGCGAAACAGAGCCTTCGAATCTTGAAAGCCAGTGCATCTAGGATGGGCTTCGCGAGCCTCTGGTACACAACACGTGGCAGGCTCAAAATGCAAGAACAACGCCAGCAGACCAATACTACTCCAAAGCCCAGGCTCAGCAGTCGTCATGGGAGGGGCTGGCGGTTCCACCTCTGAGTCCGCGTCGGCATCATGGTCAACGTTCTCCTCAGGTGCCTCCGAATTTGGCTTTGCGGTTTCTGGTTTCTGTGGGGCTCACGTGAAGGGGCCTTGGGAATTGCGACTGCGGGATGCATGCAGCTGGTGCCTTCGATTTTGGCTTTGCGGCTTTTTTCTGGGTGAGGCTCAGGTCAAAACGCCCAAAAAACTGGGACTTCGGGGTGCCTCCAGGGGCTGCTCAGCTTGCGGCGCCGGCTGAGAAAGTCGCGCCAGCACATGGCTTACCACCCAAGACGATGCGAGCCCGCCTTCCTGCACCTGGCATGACTCCTGTGGAAGCATGGGGCGATCGAAAACTGCTGAGACCGAGACCCTACTCTAAACGACGGCTTGGAATCCTGCATGCTCAACTCTCAAACCACGTCAGCAAACATGATTGAGCCACACATCACCTCGACCCCGATAGGAACTGCGACCTCAGAAAGTGCAATTCACACGTTTCAGTCCGTAGCCCCTCCTGCTCAAGCACGGGCTCTGTGTGCTTTGACAAAGCAATCCAGCCAGAGAGCGGCTGTTGGATGCGTGCCTCGCTGGGTTTCGGGCCTGGGGTTGGGCGCAACAAGCTGCTACGCGGTATGGGTTGTTTTCTCAGAAGTCGACGAGGGACTATCCTGAAGCTTGAGGTGCGGAAGAAGGGATGAGAATTCGGCATATTTACCCTGCAGAAGTATGGATCCCTGTTGAAAACCGAAGCCTTTGCACAACCCTTCAACTTGAGTAGAGATCAGACCTCCAGCTGCCACATGGAATCAAGAGTCTTCGTCTGAGAATACGTTCACCGAGATCCGGCTCCCACCTTCGTAATCAACAAGACTGATCGTTTCTATTCCCTTGAGCATTGACCTCCCATCCACAGGAGCTTAGAGCTCAGACAAAACCTGAAGTTCCTCTTCCTAAGCCTGGGAGGCTCCGAGGCTCCCTGGTCTGCGACAAAGGAAGTCTGACCTTAAACGACGATCGTCGAGCCCCCAAGCATTCTTTGCTTCTCTCGGCCTTTTTGCCGCACACTTCTGCCACCAGCACTCGGCTACCTTCATGAAGGGCACCCAACACCTTAGAGTCGGATTGAAGTTAAGGATTGATTGAGACACATACAGACTTTACAGGGCTTACGTATAGGCAGGGATTGAGTCTTACACTTCGAGTGCGGACTTCTGGCCGTAGCGCTGGAGGCTGTCAGGTTTCGAACTTGGAGATGCGACTTCAGGATCGAGGGCACCAAGACAAGAAAGCAACCACCGAATGGTAACCCCTTTCCCAGGATATAGCCCAAGGTCCCCAAAACTTCAAACCCCCAGCACCGGTAAGGCTCATGCAGATCCTACACCTCCCGGTCACCATTGCTAAACATGTCTAGTGACGGAAAACCCTGAATCCAACAACCAGACAAGCAACAAGCTCGAAAACGACATCAGTGATGTCGCCACACCCACCAGCCATCGACGGAAGCCCTACATTACCCTGCATCTCCAAACCCTCAAGCCTGCAATCCTTCACCGTGCTGCCGCATTGCATACCTGCGACTGTGACATCCCAAAACCCCAACACGTCCAGCAAGCCGTTCGCAAGTAAGTCCACAACCCACAAGCCTTTCGCTGCGAACGCAGCAAAAGCCCCCTCTCAACCTCCGCCTCCAGACTTTCAACCCGAAATGCTTCAAACTAAACCCGAATCCCTAATTCCCAAACCTAGTACAGGGAAGACTGCTTGACATTCGTAATCTGCTTCGACTACACTGGCTCCTTGCTGAACATTATCACCTCGGTCGGACGATGTAGAACAAAGATGTATACCTTCACAGGAAACGGCAGCGCAGTCCATACCCAAGCCAGGTAAACCCACGCAACCAACCCTGTGGACCAATCAGGTTTTTGAAGCCTTGCAAGCCACCTCGGAGTCTTTGGAGGCTGTGCTTCGCACTTTCGCTTCCCGCAGGGCTCGGGACCAGCCCGGTCGAATCTCGGCAGCCTGGCACTCGGGGCTTCGCTCTTCTTCCAGTGTACATATGGCAATGCTTCTGTTCTGCTCCCTTCCCTCGCTTAGACTCTTGCCGTTGTTGTGCATCTCACGCCGCATCTTTAACGACATCGATGCCATGAAGGCACGGCAGCACCATGATCGGGAATCCAAGCTCACAGCTCATACACGATGACTGTTGCTCGAAGATTTGTCCAGCAAAGAACACCGCCCCCGGAAGAAAACCAAACGCAACACCCAGCACGGCTTTCAATCGCTCAGCACATCTTAGCCGAGGAGCGTTTAGGGCCTAGAATTTAAAATAATTTAAAGCTGATCCGACTTGATGAGGCATGTTCGCTTGTAGCTTCACCGTGTTTCACTCGCTTGGTGCAGTCTTTCGGCTGTATCCGTCAGGAGTCAGGGATCGCAGCTTGGGCTTCCGCAATTCACACGCCGCCTGACTTATGTGGGCCTCTCTCTCAGGCATGTCGTACTGGAGTTTTACATTGTCAAGGTTTAGAAGCAACTAGGTTTCGGAGTCCATGGCTTGAGCTCAGGCTGCGGGTGTATATAATCTGAGCTCTGAAGCTTGAGCTTCAGCCAGGACATCTTGGACTCAGGGCTTCAAGTTCAGCTCGGATCTCCAAGCAAAGGGGCCAAACGTCAAGGGTGTTGGGAGGCTCGATTTCCCGAATCTGTCATGACTTGAAGATTCTCAGTCTTAGACTGACCACCAAATCTGAAGCTTTTTTGTCTGCCTTGTGGTCGGCAGCTGCTTTCCTGCCTTCTGCTGCAAGCTCCTCCATGCAAGCACGGAACAAATTGCTCTATTGTGCCGGTGGGCCAGCGGAAACCATCTCAAGCGCAACAGCCTCAACGTAAACACGTACGTCTCATGCACAATCGCTGCGGCAGCCCTAAAAATATAGCACCCCTCCTCTCAAACAGTAGCCATCTAAAGCTCGGGCTTCTCCTCCATGTGAGCTTTCTGCTGTTGCTGTTGCCGCCCATCGAGGTTTCGCCGGCCAAGCAGCCGAGGGTCCCCTTTGCTCTCTTGGCATACCGCCGGTGTACTTGCGGCTGCTGTTGGCTCCATGCTGGGAGGCCTTCCTACGCCAGAGCCGAAGATCCTGCAGTAAACTCTGCCTCATCCATGCCCCAAACCCCGGAGCCCCAAACCAGCGATGAAAGCTGCCTCACAATATACCACCACAATCACAAGACAGCCGCACGGCAGCATGATTTTCATGCGGGCGGCGAGTGCTGAACCGTTGGAATGCTGGTTTACTGATACTGGTTAAGTTGAACAAAGACGAAGCAAATTGAATCCTCTCAAAGTGACCACTGCCTGACCTTTCAAGGAGAGCTCGCTTCCATCCCAAGTTCTACTGTTTTCAAAATTTCGGAAACCACGAAACACAAGAACACGCTACTGTGGGTCTCAGGGTTCTGGGTTGAAGTTGATGCTCGCTTTAAGTGAGGACGTCTGAGAAGCCCAAGACACGAAATCCTCTAGCACAAGACTCGAGATGTAGGGGATGAACGCAAGGGTGCAGACCCAAAGCCCAATGCCCGAGATGTTCCAAAATCTTGACAGCCCTCAGCGGGCCCTACTGCGCAACTCAGAGGCTCTTGTAACGCCGGGATTGTTCTTGAGTCTGTTTTGGCAAACCCCGAGCAACGAATGCCACGTAAGCAAAGGGAACCCAGATTTAGAAAGTTGTGACAGGGCAGACTCCCAAATCTAAATCATATGTCGTGTCGTGGGAAAGAGATGGACCTCGCCACACCTATAACGGAACCCTGTAGTCTGTACAAGCCAAGCCGTTTGCGAAAAACTCTTCAGGTCCTAGAATCCTGGATCCCCAACTCCGAAGTCCGACAAGGGTAGGAAAAAACCTGCACAAGTCCTGTTCGACGTATGTGAAAAGTCCTACGAAGTCTGAAGCCCGGCCCTTCTGCTGACGCAGGCACAGGCGCGGGGGCAGCGCAATGCCAAGCCTCAAACTATGAAACCGTGCCTCCGCATGTTCACGGGTACATCGGAGGGTTCAGGTTGTGGTTTGGGGTTCTGGGGTGAAGAGTGCAGGGTTGAGGGCAAAGCAAGTTCAAGGGCTACCGACAAACCCAGTGCCCTCTGCGTTGTCGTGCTGGATCATTAATTCGAGCCTGGAGCATTCTCAAACCTTAACAGCATTTTTTTGGGTCAGGAACCTGCCTGATTCACTACTTTTTCCAGTCCCTGCACTCGATCCCTACAGCCTACATGGACAAAGCGAAACCCCCAGCCTCAAGGTTGCAGTCTAGCTGGCAATGCCTGGTTTAAGGCAGTGCGTACTCAGCAAGAAGTATAGGCTAGAACACACCACCCAAAGAAAGATACGCGAGTAAACACAGGCGTTAAACAAGTAAGTGCAACCTACGGCAAAATTCAGAGACAAACAAAAACCCTTCTTTAAGGGCCTTGATCGGATCCCTGTGATACTATCTGTTTTTGCCTCGCACTTTCGCAGAACAGGGTGGCTGCCACAGAACTTGTTGCCGGAAAGTGGATTTTGTTGATCCGGGACTACGTGAAGGCAGGGTCAGCTACGAGCCTCCTTCGGGGTCCAGGCTATGTGTCTCCCGGCCAAGCTGCTCAAGGGTTTTCTCTGCCGCGAATCTATCCGTTTGGGGCCCCCAGAGCGAAGATTGCTGAAGCTCATCTGATGCGTGCTTAGAGGAGGCCAGCCTGACATCAAATTAAGCACTTTCCGAACATCTTTGTGGATGTTGGCTCAGACGATGTAGGCTGAATCAGGCTTCTTCAGGGTTGACTGATTCGCGGGTCTCTTCGACGGCCTCGACCGTACCCCCGTGACTAAGTCGGCGGCTACTTGATGTTACACTCGCTCAATCTTTAGGGTTTTGCCTGCGTGAGTTCGCAACTCCCATCGACCCACACGGTGGAGCCGTCTGTGGCCGCAACCACAGGAGAAGCCGGTCGCGGAGGTGATGCTGCCAACCTAGTGTGCGGGTTGAGGACTTGACATGTAAGTCGCAGTCGTAAGCCCGGAACCCTTTGCAGGATGCGAAGGCTTTCTCATGCATGGGGGGCATTCGCTCCCAGAATGTCCAGTCCATGGCTATCAACAAGCAAGCAGTAAAGACTCTCGAGAAGCGCCAATTGGGCATCACAAATCCACTTACAGACCAACATCGGCGCTATTCTTGTAAATGTGGTTCGTGGGCCGTTCTACAGTCTACACGTCCTGTAAAAGGAACCAGATGCTCATTCTTGAGTTGCCAGTTCCAGCTTTATTGATTCGGTCGCGCGGCGTGCATCCCTCAATCCTGAGGCGTGAAAGCCTGAAGGTGGACTCATTTCATCTACGGCTTCGCATAAGTACAACGGGCTTGAGGACGGAAGGGAGCCGAAACGCCCAGCGACACCAAGGCTTCCGGACATGCTACTGTAGATACTGCGCAGCATCTATAGTCGGTCTGCTGACGTGTGGAGGGATCTCACACCTGCTTCTTCTTTGTTGAGTTTTGCGCGAATTTAAGATTTAGGTAGGGCTCTGACAACAAAAAAGCTCTCAGCTGCGTGGTTGCGAACGCGGCAAAATCACGAACACTGCAATGCTCCCCCAACAGATGAATACCTGTAGCCGGGACCAAGAAACCTGCATGGTGCTGTCGTCGACAGGGGGCTGGGCGCATGGTACACCTGACACAAAGTTCAATTCTGGGGTGGTAAGGGTGTGGTCAGTAAAGCTTCCATTATCACAAGTGAACCCATGATCGGGGTCGCTTCGGTCAAGCTTTGAAGAATGAAGCGTTTGGCATGAGCGAAACAAGAAGACGTGCGGCTACAGCTGTTTTGCTTCCGCAGGTTCGTTAGCACCACCTGCTGTCGCAACGAATCAAAACTGCTCACACACAGTTCGAAGCAGGAGCGTGTCGAATCAGCAAACCCCGTTCGTACATCGGGACAGGTATGTGGTGAGCAACGGTACATACGCTACTTGCGTGCGCCCGTCGAGCAAGGTGGAGATCCAGCAGTGAGGATGTCGGTGCAGTCGAAGGCGCTGGGATGTCTGCCGTTTCAGCTGTATACTGAGCTCAGAGGAGCGGCTTCGACACAAAGTCCAAAGGCTTGGGGGTAAAACTCTCACCCACACTGTCGGGCACTCTCAATAAATTTGAAAGGCTTATAGGGGTTGGTGATGTTTGGTGTCGCCGCTGCAGGCTGCATGGACATCAGCTTCGACACGGTGTGTGGTCTTTGAAGCCGATGAAACAGACCGTCGTGTCCAGTCTTTTTGGCTTGACAAAAGCCCTCACACTCTCGAAGATCTACAACTATTCAGAACATTGCACTTGCTCTCAGGTCATGCTCATGTACATCCGTGCCTCCTCAAATCACGATTCACCCCAAACCCTATATACTTCCCGGACCCTTTGTCGGAGGGCTGACGCGGACGAAAATTCTGTCCGAGTGGCGTGATCTGGCCATCGCAGGGCCATGGGCCGAAGACGCGTTGGCTTACAGACTTCGTAGCTTGGGGTGAAGCGCTTGCTGTAGCTGTGGGTGTCTGGACACTGGGTCACGAAGATTGAGCATTTGGGGTTTCGGGTCGCGGCCTTTGGATTGGGCTTTGCGGGTTGGTGGCTAGAGCTTTTCGGAGTAAGCTTATTCGATGTGAGCATTCCATGTNNGGGGGGGGGGGGTGAGAAGTGGGACCATCTTCTCGATTTTGCCGTCTCTGCACTGTGGAGGCTACTCTGGGTGGCCGCTTTCATGTAGAATTGCTTGAGCCGCGGTGACGGAGTCCAGTTCCCACGATGCTTGGGCATGAGTGCAGAAAGCGGGTGTTGCCTGCCCTAGCGTTGCTTCCCAAACTGCTTCGGGAGCACGGACTTCCCGATCTGCAGAAGATCCAAGGCACTTTCCAGAAACATATTGGCTGAGCGGTAGGCAGGCTTTGACTGAAAACAACAGTACCCCACCGTCGGAAATGACAATGTTAAGACGATGCACCCTCTCAATCCAAAAACCTCAAAACACTTCGCTATCTGTGCCGATGACAGAGCTTCTCTATCGCAAGACGATCTGGACAAACGGGTAATGAATGAACTTGGCAGTTTATGGGACAATGCAACATGTAGTACAGCAGCAGCAGCAGCAGCA